TGAGGGTACTACAGTAGTACTAGTGGTATTATGCTGTAGGAGATGAGGGTACTGCAGTAGTACTAGTGGTATTATGCTGCAAGAGTTTACTACAGTAGTACTAGTGGTATTATGCTGCAGGAGAGGAAGGTACTGCAGGAGTACTAGTGGTATTATGCTGCAGGAGATGAGGGTACTACAGTAGTACTAGTGGTATTATGCTGCAGGAGATGAGGGTACTACAGTAGTACTAGTGGTATTATGCTGCAGGAGAGGAAGGTACTGCAGGAGTACTAGTGGTATTATGCTGCAGGAGAAGAGGGTACTGCAGTAGTACTAGTGGTATTATCCTGCAGGAGATGAGGGTAGTACTAGTGGTATTATGCTGCAGGAGAGGAAGGTATGCAGGACGTACTAGTGGTATTATGCTGCAGGAGAAGAGGGTACTGCAGTAGTACTAGTGGTATTATCCTGCAGGAGATGAGGGTAGTACTAGTGGTATTATGCTGCAGGAGAGGAAGGTACTGCAGTAGTACTAGTGGTATTACGATGCACAAGAGGAAGGTACTGCAGTAGTACTAGTGGTATTACGATGCACAAGAGGAAGGTACTGCAGTAGTACTAGTGGTATTGTGATGCAGGAGAGGAGGGTGTTTTAGTAGTACTAGTGGTATTATACTGCACGAGAGGAAGGTACTGCAGTAGTACTAGTGGTATTACGATGCACGAGAGGAAGGTACTGCAGTAGTACTAGTAGTATTGTGATGCAGGAGAGGAGGGTGTTTTAGTAGTACTAGTGGTATTACGATGCACGAGATGAGGGTACTGCAGTAGTACTAGTGGTATTACGATGCACGAGAGGAAGGTACTGCAGTAGTACTAGTGGTATTACGATGCACGAGATGAGGGTACTGCAGTAGTACTAGTGGTATTGTGATGCAGGAGAGGAAGGAGTTTTAGTAGTACTAGTGGTATTTTGATGAAGGTCCACTTCCCCTAAGCTGCGTAGTTGTGATGGACGGAGACGTCTACAAAGAAGCGTCTTCGATGTCTTCACGTGTTGCAGTGAAACACGCCGACGACAAACCGTTCAGAGTGACGCTCGTTTAATCGTGTGATCTGCGTTTCTACGTCATGATCGTTATTTCTCGTGAACTGCTGAATGATGCGTCACTTTTTAAATATTGGGACAGAATTGTCTCCTTTCTTTTGGTGCAGTGGTTCCTATGCTCAAGCAGCCAAGTAAGGAAGCATTGACGCTCCTCTCCTTTGAATAGAACCGCTCTTTAGACTACTCTGCTGCTCACTGAGGACCGTTCCAATGCAGCTGTAGTCTCATCCGTCTTCTAAATGTTTAAATATGCAGGATTGTGTCAGGACGGATAAAAGATCAAATCACCGTTGTAACGGCGTCCTCTGCGTCCCCCCCAGGACCAGCTGGCGTCCCTGCAGACGGTGCTGGTGAACTGCATGAGTCTGAGGAGCTCTCACGGCATCTTCCCGCTGCTCGCCGACAAGCTGAAGGCGCCCGGCGGGCCGAGCGGGCTGCAGAGGTTCCTCACGGCCCCGGGGCCCCCTGTGTGAGTGAGCCCGGCTGGTTCCAGATGTGTGACGAGGCCCCGTTCAGCCTCTGGAAGCGTCTGTAGTTCATACGCTCGTTCATCTGTGTAGTGTTCTGCTGCTTGTTATATTTTAAGTCTAATATTTCATGTCGAGAAACCTTTATTTTGTCTTTATTCAGCTAAGTAAATCTTACCAGTAAGACAAATCATTTATATTTTATTTAATGGAGCCTCTTAGCGACGGCGTTTCTCACGCATGCACCTGAACCACCAGATTTCAGAAGGAACTCCTTTAATGTGTCGTCAGTAGTGCAGAACCAAAGCCGATTGCAAATCTTAATCTGCTGGTCCGAGAGGAACTGAATCCCGCCTCATGTTGGTTGGTTCATGATGATGATCAGAAGGACAGCGATGACCCAGCTGTGTTTTGGTCCTCAGGCTCTTGGTTCTGGACGAGATGGACCAGCTGGACAGTAAAGCTCAGGACGTCCTCTACACCGTCTTCGAGTGGCCGTACCTGCCAGAGTCCCGCCTCTGTCTCGTCGGTAAGAGCTCCGCCCACCATGTAACACACCTGTGGCTGTGAGACTATTGTACATTCTTTGTTCCCATAATAGTAAATAGGTTTGTTGTTGTTTTCAGGTATCGCCAACGCTCTGGACCTGACTGACCGCATCCTGCCGCGCCTGCAGGCTCGTCCTCACTGTCGCCCCCTGCTGCTACACTTCCCCCCCTACAGCCGGCAGGAGCTCACGGACATCGTCCAGGACCGGCTCGCTCAGGTGGGCCCAGTTCGCGCCTTCAGCAGAGCGTGCGTGCGTTTGTGTGTCCAGACCCTTTTTAAACGTTTTGTCCCTCCCCCTCCTCCCCCAGGCGTCGGCTGACGGGATCCTCGACTCCTCGGCCGTTCAGTTCTGTGCCCGTAAGGTGTCGGCGGTGTCGGGAGACGCCCGGAAAGCTCTGGACATCTGCAGGTACCGGTTCCTCCTCCTCCCCTTTGAATCAACCAGCGCTGCTTCCTTGTTTTAATTCCTCAACTGGTCGAGAATTCGCTTGACGCACCTTTTCTTATTTTTATTTTTTCAGGAGGGCCGTCGAGGTCGTGGAGTCCGACGAGCGGAAGAAGCCGTCGGATCCGAGCGCCGGCGCCAGGCGGGTCGGCCTCCCCCAGGTGGCGCGCGTGCTGTCGGAGGTTTACGGCGACCGCATGGCGTCTCCGGGCGGCGGCGGCGGCGACGCGGACGGGGAGAGCTTCCCGCTGCAGCAGAAGCTGCTGGTCTGCTGCCTGCTGCTGCTGACGCGCAGCGGGAGGAGCCGCGAGGTCGTCCTCGGGAAGGTGGGTCGCTCTTCGCCGTCTCGCTCTCTCAGCGGCGTTCCCGGATGTGCAGCAGGGGGCGCTGTCGGGCAGAGCGTGACGGCTTTTTGTTTCTCCCCCTCGGCGTCTCAGCTCCACGAGGTGTACAGCCGGCTGTGCCAGCGGCGGCAGGTGTCGGCCGTCGGTCAGGGCGAGTGTCTGTCGCTGTGCGGGCTGCTGGAGAGTCGAGGGATCTTCTCCCTGAAGAAGGCCAAAGAGGCTCGTCTCACCAAGGTACCGCCGATGGGGAACGCGTGTGTAAACGTGGTGTTGCTCCTCGTGCAAAGCGGCTGCACGCCGAGCGTCTCTTCTTCCCGTTCCACCTCTGGAATGATGTGGACTCGCGTCTCTTCCTGCAGGTGTTCCTGAAGATCGAAGAGAAGGACGTTGAAAACTCCCTGAAGGACCGAGTGCTGCTGGGCAGCATCCTGGCTGCCGGCCTCCCCTCCTGAGCTCCTCTTTGGATTAGTTTTAGTTCTTTAGCGTTTTTACTGAGACTTTGTATATATTTTATGAGATTTTATCTTTTTATTTTTTTTCTCACTGATGTTGACGCTCCGTTTTTAACGCGTCGGTTACAGCGTTTTGTTTCAGTTTGGAGTCGAATCGTTTCCATTTTAATGCTGTAAATAAACAAATGTGCAGAACTTTTAATCAATTCTCTTTTTGACTAATTTTGCCCAAATAATCCTGAATTAGTTTGTTTTTTATATACAAAAAGGGACCAAGTAAACACACTGAATATCAGCACGTGAGACTGAACTCAATACATTTTAAATAAAGGGCTGAAGTCTCAACAATCATATTATGAGTTTATTTAAAACGTCCCCTTGCGTTTAGTTTTATAGCAGCAAACGTGAGTCCGCTCACCGCTGCTCCTCATTGGATCAAAGGGTTTTTTTAAACAGATCAATTTCGTGATGCAGATAAAAACGGATTTTATTCCATATTTAAATACCAGACAAATATAAACTATTCAAATGATTCACTCACAGCAGTGTGATTAGTGCACGTTATCAGATAGTTACACAAAATATAAACGTTAACTGATAAAATGAGTCAAAGCTTCAGAGATCCAGCAAACCAATGAAAGCAACTTTCTCCCACAGTGCATCATTTATATTAATCTTTAGTTTGAATACGATACTTTACTGTGATTGTCAGACATTTTGTCTCATCGGGCCCCAAAACAGAAACCGCACAGAGAATCAAACACTTTTGACTTTATTAACATCGTATTTGTACCTGAGACGTTTGCTCACAACACCACGTTGTTCTAAAGAAACATTTTATAACTAATGAGTCTGTGTGTAAACGTAGAAACAAACAGGATTCTTTTTCATATTTAAGGGTCTTCTGTACTTTTAAGAAACATTTTTTCATGTTCAAAGGGAAATATAAAATGGAAAGATAGTTTTGCACATTCAGAGTGACGAGGTTCTAAAATCAACTAGTGACTTTAAATTAAGTGTGAACGTGAACTTTAGCCCTCTGAGTCGCGCTGACATTTCTTTACAATCGTTGGTTCCAACAGTCAAATCTTTTCTTCTGAGTCGGTTTGATTTAAATCTAAACGTCAAATGGACCCAAACTGAACATTATTTCCCTTTAATTCCTCATTAACAGTTTCCTGTTAAGATCCCTTGATTATTTATTCACTGTAATATAAATTAGATCCCGGTAGTTACTTTGAGGGATCCCGATACTCAGCACATTCTTTATAATATTCTGATTTAACTGGAAAAAGAAGCCTTGAACTCTGTGAGCAGATCGATCCGGATTAATCTGGTCATGTGATCAGTTCAGTTAGTGATGACTCCACTCGATAAATACACACAATACAATCACGTCATTTTAAGTATTTCATTTTTCTCTTATCTTCGCTCCGTGTTCCTCTTGTTTTGGTCCTGTCAATCATGTGTAAAGCACTTTAAATTGTCTTTCAAAGCTGCTTCATGATTACTGCTTTGAATTAATGATCGACGGATGAAAGTTTAATAAGCCGGCAGTCTTCATTCCTCCGCCAAATAAAACTTCAGCAAACTATCTTGTAGCTTGTTTTCTAATAAATTAATCTTCAGCTGTTTTCAGCAACATGAATTAACAATATTACATTGTTGCATTTAAATTAATCTCAGTTATCTAAAATTGTACTGAAGCAAAGAGTCTGATACTTTTGGTTCATTACTTACGTGTGAATTAAGAGGATTTGGTTTTAGCGTTTTCATCCTCGTTAAAACAAATGTGAACTAAAAGTTTATTCAAGTGAATCATAAAAGGCAGCACATCTTAAATATAGTTTCTACTCAGAAAATACTCGTAAATACTTCATAATAAATACTTATTTGGTACATATTGTTTCTATGTAGCTTATTCTCATCTAAACATGAGGTCCAAAATAGTCAAATATCAAAAATACTTGAGTTTGGTCCGTTTCTGCTGCCTTTGAGTCACAAACACTCAGCTGCCTTTCGTCAAACAAAACTATGAACATAAAGAGAAAAGCAGCAGAATAAATAAAGTACAATCAGTTCTACTCCTCGAAGTAAAAGAGACATCAAAAACAAAGTGTCCTGCTGTCGAGCAAAAAACACATAAATAGTGGACGGGGAGATTTAGAGATACAGAATATAATAATAATAATAATATAAACTTGGTGTTTGTTTCCCTCTGAAGACAACGTGGTTCTCACTTTGTCCCGATAAGGAGACGTGGCTCTGGGGGGGGACGGGGGTCCCGTCTCTACCTCAGCCGGGCGGAGAAGCAGCGCATGTACTCCGTCACCCAGCGGTCGTCCACCGCCGTCAGCTGAGACGTCCTCGTCTTCTCCAGGTCGGCAGAGCGAGCCCGCCGCCGGTCCGGCTCCGAGGCCCGTTTACCGGACGCCCGCCGGGTCTGAACGCAGGCGTCAGACGTGAGGATCTGAGGGAGAAACCACAGGGGGGGGGGGTTCAGAAACGCACACCTGTGTTGCATTATTGATGCAGAGTTTCCGGTGACTCGGCGCCGCTTCTCCGGTGTCCTGAGGCCGCCTCCGGTGGCTTCAGCGCCGTTGTACTAAATGTCATCCCATCACATCACATGTCATCTAGCGGACTTACAATAAGTGCGTTCCACTTATCGTCACTCACGTCATTCGGCGCCCTCTTGACCTCCGCGTGTCTCCTGGCCCAGTCCGGGCGGCCGGGCGGCCTGCGGCTCTCCTTGGCGCCGATGGGCGGCTGGCTCTTCGCTCTCGGCGTTTTGCGGGGCGCGGCCGGTTCGTCGGCGGGGGGGCCGTCCTGGCGAGGGGGGGCGCGGCGCCGGGGCCGTCGCTTCGGCGGCGAGTTCGCCGGCTCCCCCTCGGAGGACGTGGAGTCGGCGGGGCCGCTGTCCGCGTCCCCCGAGGACCCGCCGGGGTCCGGAGCCACCGCCGCCGCAGACCCGCCGCCGTCCTCGCTCACGCCGTTTTCTACAACTGCAGGTCGACACACAGGAAAGTGTGCAGCTCAGAGAAGCTCTGATGATGTCATTGGTAGCCGGAGTGATGCGATGGTTGGATCACTATGACGAGTTCTGTTCAGGTCAAATGTGACATCACTAACATCTCAGTGCGTGAGATCACGTCCCAAATTTACTACAATACAATAATACATTTGATAAGGAAAACACACATTATCTGACTAAATGCTGTATTAAATTAAACGTTGTTGTGGCATTCACATGTTTGTTTGGCTCAGCATTTTAATGTCAGGAATGGAAGTGAGAATCATTTCCAGTCTGATGACCCGGTAGCTCTTTTTATCGGAGATTAGTTCTCTGAATCATTCCATCCTGTCGCCGAACCTTCAGTCCCAATATTTTTTAGCAGCAGCGTCTCCTGAGTTTTAGCAGTTTTTCTGTCTCTGCTGCGGTCGGAGTGACGCTCACACAGGAGCACGAAGGAACCGCTGCCGCGGTTCTGTTAGATCATCATTGCTGAAACAGAAGGAACGTCCTCTCCAGGCTTCAGTTATAACTCGGTTTTCTCACGTGAATCCTGAACCCTTGAGTGAGCATCTGTGATGAAGTGATGAAGATAGCCGGGATAATTATATAACTTCATAAATAGTCAGATTAGTGTCTGTGGGAGCTATTATTTAGTCATTTATTCTTAAATATTATAGTTTTTTTGTATTTGGTTGAATCATTTTGTCACTAAGTATGTGTAGTTTTGGGTAATTGGACCTTGCTAACCAGGAGGAGTAATGTTACTATTTAGCATCTAACGATGCTAACATGGTTAGCATTGTCTCCTTCACCACTAGTCAAGTGGATGCAGGTATTTGGTCATAATGTGTTTAAAACGACTGATATTTAAAAGGTCAAACGAATGTCTTAATGTCTGAGCAAAAGCTGCAGGGATCAATTTATTGATTAGTAGATAAGACTGAAAATGAGGGTTTTGATCTCTAAACAGGAAGTGATCCTGAAGCGTACCGGCGGACTCGATCAGACGTTTTCTAGTACACAACGAAACAACAACCGCAGGCAGAGAGGACTCGTCACCGGCGCGTCACCCAGGTTATTCCGGAGGTAGATACGCATCAGTAGCTCAAAGATAATACGGAGCTTCTTTAACAGCTTCAAATATCTCTGGGATTTTTATTTATTTACGTATGAAGATATTGAGGTTGCCTGGTAAATGGCGTGTGTGGTCATAGATCACTTCTTGAGATGAGTCAGTATCGGTGACGTGCTCCTCACCTGCGGCGGGCGCAGCGCCTCCGCCCGCTTCTCCGCCCGCTTCTCCGCCTCTCCTTTCCCCAGAAGGCGGGTCCGTCCTCGGCTTCGCCCCCGCGGCCGGCCGGGCGACGGACAGGGGGGCGGTTTTGTTGCGGCTCGGCCTCGGCGTGGACCAGCCGCTGGATCCCGAGCTGCTGTCCCAGCCCTCCCAGAACCAGGGCTTGTGGGAATGCTCCATCACCCGCCGGCTCAGACGGTACTTCAGGGAGTCCTCGTAACACTTGGAAAACGTCTCCCATTTGGGATCCCTGAACCTCTTCATGTACTCCGTCCGGATTTTCTTGGTCACCATGGTTCCTGTTACTGCTGCTGTCTGGACCGTTTCACTGTGGAAAGCAGAGGACGATATAGTCTACTAATTATTACTGTATAATATGAGTATTTAAAGCAGAACATGTCCCCTATGACTGTTATGCTACCATATTGTTATTGGATTATTATTACTAATGCATTCATGTAAAAGAAGGTTTTACTGTTCATTTTGAATAATTAACTAGTGATCTTTTTTTTTGTTAATTTAAGTCCAAAATAATAACAATGAATGCGCTTTGCAATAATAAAAACATTCCACCATCGATAATGACATGAAACCAAATGAATGAATTTGAATGTCACTGACAGGATACCTGCGGCCGCCTCGTGACGTCATGGGGTGACGGTGTGGTCTACCTGTAAGCCCCGCCCACCTCCCTTCACAGGGATTACGGTCAGGCTGCAGCTCATTAGTCTCAGTACTGATGTACGTGTTTCTGTCAGGAGACCCACCGCCTACACACATGTTCCACATCATGTAGCATCTAAAGCCCGTGAGAATGAACTGCATCCATTATTCATTCATGAGGTGACGTTTGATCCAAGAACGAAACCGGGACGATATTCACCGTCAGCAGCAAATTATTGCAGATTCATTGGTGTATTTATTTTGTTAATCTCGTAACTGAAACGCTCTTATTTTGAAGCCTTTAATTTTCACAGTTCACAAACATCGTATTTTATAATTGTATCATTTAAAACCCCGCAGAGAAAAACAACACATTCAATAACATCTTGTACACGTTGAAACAAAGTCATAATGTTTAAAAATACGAGTTTTAGCCGAGAGCCTCCGTGTGAAAGCAGCAGCATCGTCGCAGCCGTTACCGGAACCTGAGCGCCCCGTTAAGCCCCGTTTGTAACACGGTGGCGTTTGACGGCCTTTGGTACAATTTGAAGTTTACTGTTTAAATTACCGTGCAGCAGGCTTTAACTCACCCGGACCTCCTTCCTGAGAGGCCCAGTCTGTGTTCAAGAACCCGAGAATCGCTTCCCTCCCGCGGTCACTCGCCTCACATCGCTCCGGTCCTCAGCGACCGTCAGGATGCACCGAGAGCTACAAGCTACCTAGCTAGCGCAGAGCCACGAGCTTCCGCCGGAACCTTTCAGAGTAAAACACCACAGCATCACATACGAATTTCTAACATAAACAAACGCTCCGGTGCGTGGACTTTAAATGTGAAAAGTTCCATGCTTCCGGTTGAGCTGTTGCATTTCGATATTTGTTTTAATCTAATGTGTTTCATATTGTATTGGAAATGTATGAATAGTTAGACAAAACAATGAATGAATAAACCAACATTTGTGTGAGTTGACTCTTTTGTTTGTGTCCTGCAGTGAATGTGAGGAAGACGTATGAAGAGCTGCAGAGAGGACATATTTATCTACATGTTTACAGGAGGACGTCACACTACAGCCTTTCATTTAATGTGAATTATTACAGAGAATGAAGAGACGTTTATGCTGCTTACAGGTTCATCAAGATGATCTTCACATATTGTGACGTAGTGCTTTTGAGGCCAACACCTACACAGGATGGTGGCGTCAAGGACTCAGAGGTTTGAGTTGGGATGAGGTGCAGTCAAGTTAACTCAGCGCTCTGGGATGCGATCAACCATTCGGTTTTATTATCCTCGGTGGTCTTCAGGAAAACAAACACTTCTAATGGACAAACATAAACGAAAGGAACCAAATAACTACAACCTCTCTGCAGGTGACTTCACTCCAGCCCCCAGCGTACTTCTTCTTCTGTGGTGTTTAACGGCGGCTTGCATCCTTTTTTGTTGCATTACCGCCATTCCCCATCAGCAAAAAATGTATAAAGCACCTTCTTCCAAGCTTACTCAACCCCCACTCTCGTACAGTTTGTCTCGCTTCCGTTCATCTCGTTCAGCATGTCTTTCCTCTCTGCGCTGTATCTATTACACACGTGCGTTTGTATATTTCACTCCTGTACGATGCGATCGCTACAGCAGCTCCTTTTCTGTCCGTATCTGGGTCTTTGGATCCATCGGTAAACACCTGCACCTGCTCTGCATATTTACTGTCCGTGTATTCATAGAAATCACTAACAAGGTCAGAGTTCTTTCTTCTTACTTTACTTTGCAGCAACTCCATGTCCACCTCTGGTTCCTCAAGCAACCACACAGGAGTTATTGGCCAAATGACAGTAGGGATAAGCTCCATATCAGCTGCTGCTAAGCTTCTTGCTGCTGCTCCTCCGATCCATCCAAAACTAGTCTTTGGTCCTTTGTGCCTTTCCCAGCATGCCTGTACCACTTTTTTTGCAGGGTGATCATCTTTATGCCCTCTCAGGTTTACCCAATAATTAACCATCAGCTGCTTTCTGCGATGACACAACGACATTTCCCCAGTCTCTACTTGGACGGCGCCCACGGGAGACGTTCTTGCTGCACCTGCACAAACTCTCGGGGCCCTGACCTGGACAACGTCTCCCTCCCAGCGCTTCCCTTTGCCCTCGCTTTTATACAGCCTTCTAGTCAATTGGGTGATTGGGAGAAACCAACTGGCTGGGGGTTCTGTCAGGTCTAATTGAACATGCTGTATCCTACACAGTTATGATAATAATTCACATACGTTCTTATAGCGTCAACACTGTTGTCATGTGGATGTGAACAATTATATAATCAAGTGCTGACATTAATGTGCACATTTAGGCGGTTACATACATATTCTGTACCCTGACCAAACAAGGAATGAACTAGCCCACTTGTCAGTCAATTTGGGGAGAAGGCTCTCGCGTGTCTTTTCACACATATTAACAACACTTTTATGATGTTTCCTTTTAGCAGAAGTAAGACGATAACATCAGAGCAGCTCCTTGTTCTGCAGCTCATGCACACTAATGACGGAAAGAGGAAGGAAGCTCTGCTGGGGATGAACAGCAGCTTGTTACCAACTCCAGAAGAGACGAGCTGACCTCAGAGACATCAGCCTCCTCTTTAATGTAGACGTGTTTCTGGTGACTTACTGAATAAAGAGTTTCTGATCTGCTGATTGAACACAGAGGAGCAGCTATGAGTCCATCAGCCGGTGGATTAGTCGTCTTCCTTCTCTCTGTACAAGGTACTGTACTTCTACATTTATATTGTGAGGCCGTTACACACCTCACACACACACAGGGAGCTGTGTTTTTACTTCACACACAGGTCTGATGTCATCACACACAAATAATGACTAAATGAACATTAACAAAGAAGAAATGCTCTGAATAATTGTCTCTGTTGAACTTCCTCTAATCGTTCAGCAGCGTTTCTTTGCATTAGAACCACATTTAGAGGCTGTTATTCACTCCGAGTCTCTGACGACGTCTGTTCTTCTTTTTGGAGCATTTTATTGTGTATTTGTGGTCATTTTTATTCTCCTTCCTGGTTGTTCAGTGTCTCTTTGAGGGACATTTTGCAGCTTTGATCCGTGTCACAGATAATTGATTCACTGCCGGATGCTGAAAAGTCACATTCTGTGGTTTTAGACGAATAGATATTGTTTTGGAAAATTCTATTTCTTATTTTTTGTTGACTTTTGAAAGCCAGTCGAGTCTTAAAACACTTCTTATCAGTGACGTGTGATCTAATCAGCACATAAATGTCACGTTAGGGGGGAGGTGTGAAAATGTGCGTTTCCGTGCCGCCATTTTGTCAAAAATTAACCAAACATGGTCACATGTCACATGGTCATGGTGTGTGTGTGTAAAATAGTAAGATGTGCCCTCACACACACACACACACACACACACAATATATTCAATTTCAGACAAAATGGCGGCCAAATTGCCTGAACAGACACACGTGTATTTTCACACTTTCCCCCCAAAGGTGCCGTTCATATTCTACTAATCTATATGTCACAGTATCGTTCCCCTCAGAGTTCTGCATTTCTCTACAGTTTCCATCTCCACTCTGCAGCAGACTGACCACAGACAGAAGAGCACAGAGCAAAGACACTCTTCTTCTCATCAACCAAACCCTTCTAATACTTCAACTTGAGCTTTTTCAGGTCCACAGGTTCAATACGTCGCTGTTCCTTCCAGCTGCAGAGTCCATGTGGACATCGTGGACTCTTTCATTACTTTCTATAAACTCAATGATTTTCATATTTCTCATCATATCTTTTCTCTTCAGTAAACTACCAATGAGAGTGTGTCCTGTGATGTTGTTCTGAGTGTGACTGTGGTTCCTGATGTGCTGTGTTACAGTGATACAGAGTCAGGATGGATGGAGAGTGGATTACGATCAGACTGGCGTCTGTGCTGCAAAAGGATCAAGAGTGGTCATATTCTATAACTACACACACCCACCTGGAATAGATCCCTCTGATATAAAGGACAGATTCTGGTTCACTAAAGAGAAAGATGGTGAACCTGTGGATCTGAGAACAGACTCTGAGTATTCAGGCCGTGTCAAGTACGAATGTTATAGTTATAGTGATAGTTGTTATCTGATCATCACAGACGTGAGAGAGATCGACTCAGCTGAGTACAAACTCACATTGATGACAAACAAACCAGGCGAGAAATATACTGGTTCACCTGGAGTCACTTTGTCTGTCACAGGTAACATTTTAATTCACATATTAATCATCTACAAATGTTCAACATCTAGAAAACTAGAGTATAAATGTCTTCTGTGAATGTTGACACTTTAATAAATAATATTAACTGATTCAGGTCTCCAGGTGCAGGTGAGAAGATCAGATTCTACCTGGTTGGAGCTGACGTGTCACAGCAGCTGTGTTCTGTCTGATGATCCTGAATACGACTGGTACAAGAATGAAGAGATCATCAAGACAGGATCTTCTCTTCTAGTCTCCTCTGGTTCTACAGACAGATATTCCTGTTATTTAAGAGGATATTGGGATCACGGTTCTCCTGCAGTGTGTAAGTTCACTCCACTGTGTCGGCCTGTGGAGCTTCACCAACATCTCACATGGAGGCACCAGACCGCTGCATGTAAACTAGAGGCATCAAAAAGATGAAGCACAACGTTCCTCAGGAGGTGGAGCCGTGGTCCACTGACCAGAGGGTTGCTGGTTCAATCCCCGGCCCCTGCAGTCTACGTGTAGAAGAGTCACTCACACACTGACACAACAATAGGATTCTAATCACAGCTGTAAACACACTGGAGTCTAAATGTTAAAGGAGACACGGATCTTTATTTATGTCATTCTCTTATTAATAGAAACACAAATATAAACTATCAGCAGACAGAATAATGTGATTTTCATAAAGACTCAAGTGAATTATTCCAGAACATAAGTAGAAGTGACGTGTCAGCTGGTGGAGGAAACAATCAATAACTCCTACAACAACTAGAAGTGAGAGGACAGACTCAGCTAAGGACACAAGCAGCATCTAAAGAGAAGAATGTGTGGAGATATGAACATTACAAAGGATTAAAGGCTGCTTATTGTCACTTTACACCAGCAGGAGTCTCACCTGTGACAGCTGCTGTGATGAATACTAGAGATAGTCTGAGAGAAAGACACACAAGTATTCATTCAAATGATCAACTATCTACGCTAACATCTTCTAACCTCTTAGTATGTTTATTCACGTCTCCTCCAGATGGTCCACAGCGTCCCTCTGTGTCAGTGAGTCCCTCTGCTGAGATGCTGGAGGGCGATTCAGTGACTCTGACCTGTAGCGCTGATGCTAACCCAGCAGCTAACTACACCTGGTACAAGGAGCATGAAGACTCACCACGAGCATCAGGACAGATCTTCACCATCACTGACTTCACAGCTGAACACAGTGGGAATTATTACTGTGAAGCCCAGAACGAGATGGGACGTAGTAACTCCACCTTACGTCTGATTACTTCTTCAGGTAAATCTGGTG